ACTTGATTCAATTTATCTTTTTTAATGACGGTAGTGACTTCAGTTTGTAATTTTGCTTTGACATTTCTCCAGACTTAAATTAGTATTACTGTTAACCATGGTGTTTTTTCTTAGGAAAGTTACATGGCGCAAAGTTAAGGGATTGCCTAGCAGTAGCAAAACTCAAATGCTCCCGTCTCTATCTTCCTGAGAAGGGAATAAGGAAAGTTACAGGTGAGGAGATGAAGTTGATTCCAGCTGAGTCACTTGGACAGTAGCCCCATCCCTATAGTTTGCAATAAGGGCCAGTATGGTGAAGCAGATAGAGCATTAGATTGGCACTTGGGAGATCCATGTTCTTATCACCACAGAGTCATACAACTGAAGGTGTGATCTTGGGTCAGTCCCTCTGTCTCTGGTCAACTTTCCCCACAGACCTTTGTTTGGGGAAAAAAACAGAAGAGAAGACCCCTGGACTTCACCTTGAGTTCAATGGCAAAACTCACTCATCTGTTGTCTAGTCCAGGGGTCAGGGAACTTTTTTACCTTTTACCCCGCAAAAAAATTATATATGCCGACATTACCCCCTTGATTCGAAAGGAAGGAAATCATACATTATTTGAATTAAAAATATTATTGAATCTACACAGGCTGTGTACCGAACTAGCAGGATGCACCAAATTTGATAAAGATGTGCACTATTTTTGCTGGAAAACATTGCATTCCAGCCATGGTGTGGTATAGGGAGTAGTAAGGTGTCCAATGTGCCTAGCAAGTTGCATTAAATTTTTGCTAGCTTGCAGAGGATCATTAGTGGCTGCTAGAGTGGTGCTAGCAATGACATGCTTTCTAAAGACAGCCAACGCAGAATTGGGGTGGGTGGTGATAAAGATGTGCACTATTTTTGCTGGAAAACATTGCATTCCAGCCATGGTGTGGTATAGGGAGTAGTAAGGTGTCCAATGTGCCTAGCAAGTTGCATTAAATTTTTGCTAGCTTGCAGAGGATCATTAGTGGCTGCTAGAGTGGTGCTAGCAATGACATGCTTTCTAAAGACAGCCAACGCAGAATTGGGGTGGGTGGGTGTTTCCCTACCACTTTAATCATTCCATGTGTGGTGTGCAAAAAGGAACAAACCAGGCTAAAGGTCATGTCACCCAACCTGGTGCCACAGCCCAATATCAAAGGACCAGTGTGCTTTTTTATCATCATCAATGGAAAACTCAGCAGTGGTCAGAAGATTAGAAAAGATCAGTTTACATCCCAGTCCCAAAGAAGTGCAGTGCCAAAGAATGCTCTAACTACCATACAATTGCACTCATTTCACACACTAGCAAGGTTGTGCTCAAAATCCTCCAAGGCAGGCTTCAGCAGTACATGGACCGAGAACTCCCACAAGTAC